GCAGTGTGTTTTGGACCTAAGTGACCATGACACCTGCCAGTAACACCATTGTGATGAATGACAATTAGCTGCTTAAGAGATTTGGATCTTATGCCTGTGAAGTACTGGTAACTCCTCCATTTAATCCTGTATCTCAGCTTCTCTCAGATTTACATCTGATCGAAAGATATGTTCTTAGTTTGGGATCTAGAAAATATTATCTTAATAAGGGCACAAGGGGTCATCAGCTAAGTGACAAACACATCATGTTTTTTTTTCCCCCTTTTATCACTGCTTTTGTTCAAGTAGAGATAAATACTCATACAATAACCCAGTTGCACAAGAAGACAGTTTATGCAAGGACAAAGGAGGCTCAATCTAGGTCATTAGCATGAAAGATCAAGTTCACATATACCACCAGAAGGCCCAGACACTGACACAGACATCAAGGGAGGGGCACTTAAAGCCTATTTACGAATTCTAGTTCCAGATGATTTAAAGGGAAGACTCATGCTAAAATCCCACCTCTTCCATCCCCACCCTCTCTGTCTTCACCAAAAAAGTATGCAAGAGATGTAACCATGGTCAAATGAACACTGTTGCAAAAGTCAGCCAAAATCCTGTATGGGATTTATCCAAGCATAAGCACTGAAGTTACGGTGCTACGCAGTAAATCCTGGCCAGACCTCCCAATCCCCACTTACTGGGAAGCAGCCACTGTGACCAACCAGGGAGGAGGAGGTCTGTTCCCTGTTGAGAAGCAACTGGATGCTGTTTTTATCTTCTCCCATGAGAAATCTCCAGTGTGACAGACAGATAATTCTCTCTTGTGTCCGAATTCACTTGCACTGGGAGAGTTGGGAACAGCAGCCAGCTGCTTCCCAACTGACAGGGGAACAGACTCCCATCGATTGCAGTGGTTGCTTCCTGGTAACTGAGGATTGAGAGACTTCCACGGTCCCTATGTAGCTCCTAAGGTGACTCTCGGTTACGATGCTGACTCTGATGATCTAAAGATCAGCAGGTCAAGACCAAAGTGCCGTGTGACGGAGTGAGCTTCCATCACTAGTACCAGCTTCCGCCAATCTAGCAGTTCGAAAGCATGCAAAAGTACAAGTGAATAAATAGGTACCACTTTGGTGGGAAGCTCTATGCAGTTGTGTTAGCCATATGACCACTGAGTCGTCTTTGACAACGTTGGCTCCCTCGGCTTAGTAACGGAGATGAGCACCGCTCCCTAAGTTAGATACGACTAGACAATCACGTCAAAGGGGAAACCTTTACCTATGTAGCTCTTAAACTAGGGGCTATATAGGGACCATGAATATGTAACAGTTAAGAGAGTGTAATTTGAGGTTATGAACTCAGAGGATTCCAGTCATCCACTTTATTAGAAACCTTTCTTTATCAGGGTCTCCACTCTGTGAAGTTTAGTAACCAGATAGATCTGAACACAGCAACAGTCCCATTGCAGATTTTCCCTTTCAATGAGAGGAGGATGGAGGGAGAATGATGAGCAGGAGTACATAGAAGGTTGCCAGGTAAGGACTATGTCAGCCCTGACATTTCAGGGCAAACCTGAGAGCTATGGAAGAATTCTTGTAATATTAGGAGTCAGGTGATGGTGATGTAACAAGGAGCAGCCCTGCTGATCTCATTAAGTATGAAACATTACACACCAACAAAAGCTACACAGAGTATGCCACTTAAATCAAATCAAGTGATGTAGTGGCTTGAGTGTTGGGCTATGACTCTGGAGACCACGGTTTGAATCCCTGCTTGTCCATAGAAACCCACTGGGTGACTTTAGGCAAGACATACTCTCTCAGCCTCAGAGGGAGACAAAACCCAATGATCGTTTGCCTTAGGGTTATCATAAGTTAAAACAAAGTGAAGGCACACAACAACTTCATCAAATACAAATCTAACTAATGAAGAAAGTATAGACACACACACTTTTCTTGCCCTCAGGACCAGAAAAGAGGGGCTAGGCCCTGAGACTTAGCCCTAGGCCCAGAGATTTGGGAACCCTAAGTATATGTCACAGTAAGCTCCCATGTTGATGTGAAATCACTCAATGGCTACTAATAATGCTATAGTGTATCTTTAGCACCCATTGCTGAGAACAAGAAAAGGTGCTTTCCCTCACATTCTGCTTGCGGGCTACTCAATGATTGGCCATTATGGAGTCCAAGGTGCTGACTTGAGTAGACCTTAGATCTGATCCAGCAGGGAAACTTAGGGGGTTGCAGACTGCCAGGAATAGTGCAAATTGAGTCCACTTTTAG